CTTTAAAAATAATTAGTTCCTTGAGGAAGAAGAATAGATTTTCTTTTTAAAACCCTACTATGTCTAACACAACAGATATTTCTGAAATACTGTTGGTTAAATAGGCCAATCACATCACAGCCTTGTCATTGCAGATGGTACCAGATTAAACTGATTGTTGGATTTGCTTTGGTACCTGTGTAACCATACAAACCCAGATATTAAAATACCAGCTCTCTTCCATTGTTTCCTTAAGGTAGCCTGCTGAAGTTAATCTGTATCAGATAAACTCTCCTTATATGTGAATATGTAAAGTCAGTGTTTCAGGTCTGCTAAATTACGCTTTGCCTACTAAATTAACATGGTAAAATTAGAAAACAGTCTGACAAAGTAGTTAATATATAATTCTAAAAGGCCTTGAGATTTTAGTACTTGACCATTTTGAACATTTGGTAGGTATATCTGCTTAGTCTATTGACTTGTGAATAGTCAATAGAACAAAACTTCAGAGACTCTGTTGACTTTTTGGAGAAGATTTTATATTAGCAGATGAAATATATTTGGCAAAAATAAAATTGGAAGAGAAAAGATTAATCTGGGTTGGGTATCCATAAAGATTAGAACCACAGGATTCCTCCAGCTCTGTAGGCTCACTTTCTCTAGGAGAGGCTTCATGTTAGTCCATCTCACTGACCTCATCTCTCTTTCAATGCAGGTATCAGTACCATTAAGGTTAACATTCGTAACGCCAATTCCCTGGGAGGAGGCTTCCACTGCTGGACCTGCGATGTCCGGCGCCGAGGCACCCTACAGTCCTACTTGGACTGAACAGGCCTGATGGAGCTTGTGGCTGGCCTCAGATACACCTAAGAAGCTTGGGTCAAGGTTCATTCTCCTGCTTAAAAAGCGCATGAACTGTAGTGCTTTAAACAATCATCTCCTTAACAGGGGTTGTAAGCCTGGTTTGTTTTTATTACTTTTCTTTGACATAAAGAAAATAACTTCTGCTACGTATTACTCTCTACTTCTAAAGTTATTTACTATTTGGCTTCAAGTATAAAATTTGGTGAATGTGTACCAAGACAAGAATTAGTCACCTGAGTAACTTGGGCACTAATAATTAACCATCTACCTCTGTTTTTAATTTTCTTTCCAAAAGGCAGCTTGAAATGTTGGTTCTAATCTTAATTTTTTCCTTTTCTATAGACTTGAGAATGTTTTTGGTTTGTTTTTGTTTTTGTTTTTTGTTTTCCAAATGAGAGGCTTAGAATGTACACAGATCCTAAATAGAATCAGATAATCTCTTTTTTCTCTAAAGGAGAGAAAGACTTAGAACATACATAGATCCTAAGTAGAACCACATAATTGTCTCTTTTTCTAATAAGGAATTTGGGTAATTTTTAATTTTTTGTTTTTTAAAAAATAACCTAGACTATGCAAAACATCAAAGTGAATTTTCCATGAATGTTTTTAATATTCTCATCTCAACATTGTGATATATGCTACTAAAAACGTTTTCATATGCATCTTACCTCATTTCAAGTGAATTATTTTGATCTTTTCCTCTTTCCAAAAATTTACAGGAAAGTTTAGTGTAATCGGACTTTGCTATTGGTTCCCATCCCTAAGTTTTGCTATTCAATATCTGATAGATACACTGCATCCTTGGTAATCTAAGATTTGTTTACAAATGTGCAGATTATTTAGAGCATAGACTTTAAAAGCATTAAAAAAAAACTAATGGAGATAAAACCTATATGCGATGCAAAATAATTTTAGTGTTGATATTGTATGTGTATTTTTATTCTAATAAACTTTTGTGTTCCAGATTGAATTTGGCATTGGTCTAGTCATTTTAGTATAAGCAAATTATAGGAATGTGACTCTTGGGACAGAATTCTAATTCTCTAAAATAATCAACATATTCATCACAAAAGTAAACCTAATACTTACATTCAGAAATGCTTAGCAAAGTCAGATTTTAGTTTGTTCATTAGTTCATTCATTCATTCAAAAATATCTGAATATCTTCTGAGTATAAGGGAGAAATCCTAGGCCCTGGAAAGGAAGACTCTCTGTTCTTAAGTTGCGGAATGTTTCTTTTTTGTGAAAAATCTGCATAGAATATGTACTTTGAAATGAGTCACAGGTTTTAACCATACCCTTACTAAAGCCTTTAACTCCTTTGCATCCTGGTGGCCTTTTACATCCATTACAGAAACACCTGTTAGTCCTACACATGGACTGAATCCTGCTTGAGGAATCTATCCGGTTGTGTGGGTTGGTACATATTAGTATATATATTCACAGGCCTAAATACCACCTAGCATTTCTGTTACACAGCCCTCTGCCTCCTCCTCAGTAGCTATTCCAAACCTTCACTACATTTTCTCAGCTGATCATATTGTTGCATTTTTCACAGAGGAAATAGAGACCATCAGGCATTAGTTCCTTCAGTTTATAATCCCCTATAGATTTATACACATTTGTAGATTTTGGTTAGGTTTCTCCTCTCCTTTACAGTAAGTAGTTCTGCCTTATCCTCAGGGGATATGTTCCAAGACCCCAAGTGAGTGCCTGAAACCACAGGTAGTACCAAACCCTATATATACTGTGCCTTTTCTTATACACGCAGACCTATGAAACATTTTAATTAAGATTAAGTTAATCTGGTGCAACACATTGCTATCAGAACATGTTTTCTGTTCATGTCTTACAAATGAAATATAATGCCTTTTCCTTATTCATTTTTTTTTTTTTTTTTTGAGACGGAGTTTCGCTCTTGTTACCCAGGCTGGAGTGCAATGGCGCGATCTCGGCTCACTGCAACCTCTGCCTCCTGGGTTCAGGCAATTCTCCTGCCTCAGCCTCCTGAGTAGCTGGGATTACAGGCATGTGCCACCGTGCCCAGCTACTTTTTTTTTGTATTTTTAGTAGAGACGGGGTTTCACCATGTTGACCAGGATGGTCTCAATCTCTTGACCTCATGATCCACCTGCCTCAGCCTCCCAAAGTGCTGGGATTACAGGCTTGAGCCACCGTGCCCGGCCGCCTTTTTCTTCTTAACTAAGCACTTATCAACACACTGTGGCCATAACTTTTGCCATGTGTAGTGCGACAGCAAACCTAGCATGAATTTCTTTTTCCTTTATCACAACTTCACAGGAGATTCGTTCTTACCATGAATCTCAGCAACCTCAACATACAACTTTTTTCTTTTCTTGTTAAGAATTTTCACCTTTTCACTTAAAGAAAGCCACTTAGGCTTTTCTTTGGTATGTCCAAATTGCTAGCATGAAGACTTGCATTTGGGGTCATTATTAAGTAAAATAAGGTTACTTGAATACAAGGACTGTGATCTGCTAACGAGATGGCTATGAAATGACTGAAGGGCGGGTGATATATACAGTGCCATATGCTAGATGGGGGAGGATTCACATCCTAGGGGAGGGAGTGGAGTGGGCCAGTGCAAGATTTCATCATTCAGCTCAGAACAGCATGCAATTTAAAACTTATGAATTATTTATTTCTGGAATTTTCCATTTAATATTTTTGGACCATGGTTGACCACTGGTAACTGAAACTGCAGAAAGTGAAACTTCGGACGAAGGGACTACTATACTACCTAAGCTGCCAGAGAGAATAATCAGGCCTTCATCTCATTGCATGCATTTGCTTCTCAACCCTGTATAAAGGGTCACTTCTCACCCCACTGTAGAAAAAGAGGTGAACCTTCTGAGCAAGTCTAATCCACACAATCGTCCTTTGATCCTAATCTTTCTCATTTTTCAGAATTTGCTACACCAATTATCATTTTTCTTGTAACTCCAGTACCACCATTGCTCTGTGTGTGAGGGAATTTCCCCCCTCAGAAGAGTCATGCTCAAAACAATCCACAATGCAGTCTACATCCCTGATCCATGTTCAAGGCCTTATCATGACAAAATGATCACTCCTAGCCTGAGAGCTACCACTTGTCTTAAAATATCATAGAATCAAATAGATAATCAAAATGTATATACAGATTTCACACATTTTTCATAACCAGTTCGTTTGGACTTACACAGATAGCTGAACCAACCAAAAATTCTAGCATAAGCTTTCTCGTATATTTGTACTAACTTTACAATTCATTTGCTTACCTGATCTGTAGTAATGTGTACTTTGTAGTATGTATCTGTTTAGTGATTACAAACTATAATTATTGTTGCTGAAGTCAAAATATGCTTCAGGCCAACCCTGCTCCATAGGGATAATATTCTGAAGGGAATGTAGTTCAATCTCCCAATACATTTGATTGTTAATATCAGTATTATAAGTTTTATTAGCTTCTACAATATTATTTTTACCTAATTTCCTAACGGAGACCCACCTTTAATCCCCCTCATGTTAAATTGCAAGACACAGTTCTATAACTTTGTGAATGAGCCCTTTAATGCTTTGTTACTCATTTTTAAAAGCAGATTTTTTTTGGGGGGGGGGACACAGTCTCATTGTGTCACCCAGGCTAGAGTGCAGTGGCACAATCTCTGCTCACTATAACCTCTACCTCCTGGGTTCAAGTGATTCTCCCACCTCAGCCTCCCAAGTAGCTGGGATTACAGGCATGTGCCACCATACTCAGCTAATTTTTTTTTGTATTTTTAGTAGAGATGGAGTTTCACCATGTTGGCCGGGCTGGTGTCAAACTCCGGACCTCATGTGATCCGCCCGCCTGGGCATTCCAAAGTGCTGGGATTTATAGGCATGAGTATGTGGTCCTATTCCCTCCAATTTTCTATTAACCTATTACTTTGAGAGTGAAAAGTAATCTGATAAGCTTATTGGGTGTGATGTTTCAGTCCCTAATCCTGTGGAAGTCTTATAGTTAATTATAAACGGCATCATAAAGGAGAAAATATTTATGGGATTTTATAGGAAGTTAGAGGGACCCACAACTATTCTCTTCAAACTGCCAGGGTGTACAAATCCCAAGGCAGATAGCAAGGCTGAAAGTAGTGTGAGGTCAATGATGTACTCACCATGTTCACAAAATTTAGGGGGATCAAAAAATCCTCAGTAATCCAGAAAAATTTACTCCATATACGTATTAAAGATGGTACCTGATTGCTGGCATTCCCAAGTGCCTGAAAAAGCAAGCAAAAATTTTTTTTGAAAAAATGTAACATCCATCTAGGCTTCAATTTCTTTCTGACAATAAAATCTCAAATACAGAGTCCCCTACATAATCAAATACAGACAGATGCAGAAGGAGAAAACACCCCTCTAGCAAAACAACATTAAAAAGACACATCCACAGGGACTCCACATATCAGATTACCATACACAGACTATAAAGCATCATCCCACAGAGAAACCCCATATCCATTAGTAGTCACTCCATTTCTCCCCCAATCCTTACCCTCAAGTCTTAGGCTACTACTAACCTACTATTTGTCTCTATCATTTTGTCTATTCTGGACATTTCCTGTAAATGGAATCATTCAATAAGTGGTCTTTCGTGATGAGCTTCTATCACTTAGCAAAATATTTTCAAGTTTCATTCATTTTAAAGCTTGTATCAGTACCTCACGTATTCTTATGGCCAAATGAAATTCCACTGTATGGATTTATACATTTTATTTATCTATTAATCAGTTGCCAAATATTTAGGTTATTTCCACTTTGGGGCTGCCAAGAACACTTACATACAAGTTTCTGTATGGGCATATGTTTTCACTTTTCTTGAGGTATATACCTAGTAGTGGAATTTCTGGGTCATGTGGTAACTCTATGACTTACGGAAAAATGTCATAATAAAAAAGTAATAAGAATAAATATAAGCCCATTATTATACCCAATCAGTGTATTATTTGTATGATTCATTTGTATAACTATTTGTATAATTGTTGTATGATTTTTTTTTTCTTTGAGGCAGAGTTTTGCTCTTGTTACCCAGGCTGGAGTGCAATGGCGCGATCTCGGCTCACCGCAACCTCCGCCTCCTGGGTTCAGGCAATTCTCCTGCCTCAGCCTCCTGAGTAGCTGGGATTACAAGCACGAGCCACCATGCCCAGCTAATTTTTTGTATTTTTAGTAGAGACGGGGTTTCACCATGTTGACCAGGATGGTCTCGATCTCTCGACCTCGTGATCCACCCACCTCGGCTTCCCAAAGTGCTGGGATTACAGGCTTGAGCCACCGCGCCCGGCCTATTTGTTGTATGATTTTTAAAAGGCAATGAAAATGATCCAAAGGATGAAGTGGCTCCCATGTGAAGACAGACTAAAAAGATAAGAATTCGGTCTAGGAGGAGGAAAGTTGAGGAAGTTACAAAATCCAAATTATTGAAATAGCAATATAGTATCTTGACCAATCAGTTAACTATTGATTTAACAACTTTCAGTACACCTCAGTAAGGGAATATGACCTTGATTTAAAAAAAAAAAAAAAAAAAAAAAGCCGAGTACGGTGGCTCAAGCCTGTATTCCCAGCACTTTGGGAGGCCGAGGCGGGTGGATCACAAGGTCAAGAGATCGAGACCATCCTGGTCAACATGGTGAAACCCCATCTCTACTAAAAATATAAAAAATTAGCTGGGCATGGTGGCGTGTGCCTGTAATCCCAGCTACTCAGGAGGCTGAGGCAGGAGAATTGCCTGAACCCAGGAGGCGGAGGTTTTGGTGAGCCGAGATCCCGCCATTGCACTCCAGCCTGGGTAGCAAGAGCAAAACTTCGTCTCAAAAAAAAGAAAAAAAAAAAAAGGTCAGGCATGGTGGCTCACACCTGTAATCCCAGCACTTTGGGAAGCCAAGGCTGGTGAATCATGAGGTCAGGAGTTTGAGACCAGCCTGGCCAGCATGGCGAAGCCCCATCTCTACTAAAAATACAAAAAATTAGCCGGCTGTGGCGGCATGCACGTGTAATCCCAGCTACTTGGGAGGCTGAGGCAGGAGAATCACTTGAACCCAGGAGGCGGAGGTTGCAGTGAGCCAAGATGACACCACTGCACTCCAGTGCCCGTGACAGAGTGAGACATCACTTCAAAAAAAAAAAAAAAAAAGGCCGGGCGCGGTGGCTCAAGCCTGTAATCCCAGCACTTTGGGAGGCCGAGGCGGGTGGATCACAAGGTCGAGAGATCGAGACCAACCTGGTCAACATGGTGAAACCCCGTCTCTACTAAAAATACAAAAAATTAGCTGGGCATGGTGGCATGTGCCTGTAATCCCAGCTACTCAGGAGGCTGAGGCAGGAGAATTGCCTGAACCCAGGAGGCGGAGGTTGCGGTGAGCCGCGCCATTGCACTCCAGCCTGGGTAACAAGAGTGAAACTCCGTCTCAAAAAAAAAAATCAAGAACTAATTAACAAAGCTATATGGGAACCTACTATATGCTAGTTATCATGCTGGTGCCTTTAAAATACACTTTATCTCACTTGACTTTTCTTTCTTTTTTTTTTTTTTTTTTTTTGAGACTGAGTTTCGCTCTTGTTACCCAGGCTGGAGTGCAATGGCGTGATCTCGGCTCACCGCAACCTCCGCCTCCTTGGTTCAGGCAATTCTCCTGCCTCACCCTCCTGAGTAGCTGGGATTACAGGCACGTGCCACCATGCCCAGCTAATTTTTTGTATTTTTAGTAGAGACGGGGTTTCACCATGTTGACCAGGATGGTCTTGATCTCTCGACCTCGTGATCCACCCGCCTCGGCCTCCCAAAGTGCTGGGATTACAAGCTTGAGCCACCGCGCCCGGCCTCACTTGACTTTTCTAAGAAACATCAAGATAGGTATTCTTTTCCTTATTAAAAAAGAAAGAAGAAATGGAGATTAAGTGCTCATGTTCAAGTTGCACCTATTTTAACCAAAAATCTAAGTCACATCATTTCTTTCCTTCTTTTTAGAGCCGTATTTTGAAAAAAGGTTGCTTCTACTTTCCATATTTGTTCTCTCACCTTCCATTCACTACTCAATCCACTTATATCTGCAGTTTTTCTCCCATGTCCATCTGCTTCTTCTGAGTTCAACAAAGAAATGAGAGTTGCAATGGCTGGTTTTGTTTTTTTGAGAGGGAGTCTCACTCTTGTAGCTCAGGCTAGAGTACAGTGGCGTAAATCTTGGCTCACTGCCACTTCTGTCGACCCAGGGTTCAAGCGATTCTGCTGCCTCAGCCTCCTGAGTAGCTGGGATTACAGGCACATGCCACCATACCTGGCTAATTTTTTGCATTTTTAATGGAGATGGGTTTTTACCATGTTGGTAAAGCAAACTCCTGACCTCAGGTGATGTGCCTCCCAAAGTGCTGGGATTACAGGCATGAGCCACAGTGCCCAGCCCAGTGACTGTTTTCTAGGCTTTATCTTGAAACAATCTTCCATTTACCAAATTATGGCCTGCAGGCCAAATCTGGACTGCCATCTGTTTTTAACAGGTCCTTCAAGCTAAAAAAATTTTTTTTGCTTTTTTACATATGCTAATAGTTCAAACAAATTAAAAGAAAATAACATTTCATAATGGATGAAAATGACATGAAGTTCAAATTTCAATGTCCATGAATAATGTTTGTTTGGAACACAGCCACATTTATTCATTTGCATATTGTCCATGACTGCTTTTGTGTTCCAATGGCAGATTGAGTAGCTGTGATAGAGACACTATAGGGTGCTATCACTGCTTCGCAATGTGTCTTGGCACGCCACAAATCACAGTGACACAGTTATCACTTGACAGCATTTCAAGTGTCTCATGTGTCACTGTACCTATGGTATTTTATTTTGTTATTACCAGTCTATATGCATCACGTCAAAACAGGGAAAGAAAAGTAAATGTCACTGTCATACTTCTAAGGCACAGTGGAGTTTGGATTATTCTGATTAAATTAGATGGCAAAACACTGTGTTTATTATACAATGACATTATAACTGTGCTGAAAGAATACAATTCATGTTGACATTACCAGAAGTACTCATCACAAGATTTCCAACTCGCAGGAAAGCAATAATCAGAAAAAGACGGAAAGTTGTAAATGAAGTATCTCATTACAGCAGAATGTCTTCAAAAAAATAAAAAATTGAAAAAAAAGTCTTCCATGTTTTTGTAGGTAAGTAACCTAACTGGCTCATTTGTTAGCTAATCAAGGAAAGCCATCTACTAATGGCTAGTTAATTAAATTATGTTTGGCTGCTGAAGAAATGTGTCCAACAAACTGCTTAAAATTAGTATTAGCCTTTGGCATGCAGCGTTGCTCTCTTGAACTGAGGACAATGGGAGCAACAGTAGTCAATGCAAATGATATGGAGTGGTTTTCCTTGGGTCTTGGTGAATCAACACAGGTTACTGATTCTGCTCAGTTGTGGATTGTTCGAGGAATCAGTACTGAGTCTTAAGTGGGAACTGAAGAATTGTGTGAATATCCTGACTTGCCCTCCCACTCAGCAGTCAATGGTTCAGCAATGGTAAGATTTTATTGCAATCTTTTGAGCTTGGGACTGGGATTGAAGGTTTTTCCAAATAGAAGAACCGCCCACAACCACTGTTAATTACTTTGGAATTAGCTTTTGCTACAGACTTGATAATGTTTCTTTATAAATTCAACCTAAAATTATGAGGCAAAACAGTGCTTATATTCCAAACTTACAGTAAAATCATTTAGCTGACTCATGTCTCAATTGCAAGTGATATCAAATTACTTTGTGTACTTCCCATGCTGTCAAAACTGAAAACAAAAAGCAAGATCTCCATTCTCCATTTGCAACAGATACATTTTCTGGGCTCAAATGACCATTCCAGCAGTGTTTTTCTGAAGTCAATGCAAGAACAAAGGAAATTTCAAGGTACATTTAAATGTATGGTTTAGGAAAGTGATTTATTGGTGCTTGCTTTGGCAGCACATGTACTAAAATTGGAAAAATACAGAGAAGATTAGCATGGCTCCTGTGCAAGGATGACATGCAAATTCATGAAGGCTTCCATATTTTTAACTGTAAAAATATTAAATAATTAAAAAATTGTTTTAAAATGTAAAAAAGAAAGTGTAGGCTAGGTGTGATGGCTCACACCTGTAATATCAGCACTTTGGGAGCCTGCAGCGAGCAGATCACAAGGTCAGGAGTTCAAGACCAGCCTATCCAATACGGTGAAACCTGTCCCTACTA